CTCATAGTAGTCTCGTTTGTTCTGTTATTCGAGGTTTGTGTAGGGTGCTTGTTGGGCGTGTGGGTGGGGGGAGGGGTTGGTGGGGCGGGGCGGAGGGGGGATTGCTACGTGATGTGGCAGTGCTGTGCTAAGCTCACACAGAGCTGAGATAAATATCTCCCATCAGGCGAGTTGCCCTTGTTTTAAACTGCGTTTTTCGGTTTCTTGACTTTGTTGTAGTGCTTCCTTGCTGGTTTTTTTGTTGGTGTGTGCTTTATTTATTTATTTATTTTTGTTTTAGGTGTTTTTGAGTTACATGAATCGCTGCTGCGAGGTTCTGCAGTGGAACTGCAGTTCAGCTAACCGGATTGGTTCGGACTGATTCGGATTCAACTCACACCAAAGCTGAGATCAGGCCCTTGCTTTAAACTGCGTTTTATTTTTATGTTCCTTGTAGATTTTGGCTGTATTCTATTTATTTTGAGAGCAGAGGGAGCCAGTCTCGTGGTGCATCGTGCTGTGGCTAGCGAGCTGCTGACTTCAACACACCCAAAAACTGAGAACATATCACCGCTGAGTGTGCTTGCATTGGATCCACATCGCTTGATTGCCCAAACCTAAAACCAGTTCCACCACGGTCTTTATCTTTCAGAACTTCTGTTTTTGATCAGTGTATTGAGATCTGTTAGCTCTTACTAGCCTTAGCTTAGCATGGCTTCGGGTTTCATCACTTGCACTGTATACCAGATGTTTAGCTATAACACTGCTTCATATGAAACTAATAGTACATGTACCAAATGTTATGCTATGTTGGCTCTGGAGGAGAGGCTGTCTGATCTGGAAGCTCGGTTCTGTGCTTTTGAAAAACCATTAACTAGCCAGGCACCCATAGGTTCCGCAGAGCCGCTAATGCTAGCTCACGTTAGCAGTCAGAAACCACAAGGATGATGGCCTGAGGTAAACTAAATGCTAAAACTAAGTTCCCGGTTCACGTTTTGAATGAGGTTTCAAAATGGTTTTCTCCCGTTCAAAGTGACGTTTCAAATGAGTTTCCCTGGGAAATACCTGATCGTGACTTCTGAGTCATCAAGGGATGGCGGTGTAGAGCTGAATCTCTAAACCAAAAAGAAAGAAATTTGCCTGAAAAGTCATCAAACAAGGTCAAAATATCTAAGCTGAGATACTCTAGAAGGGGAAGAGATGGCTTTGAAACAGAGAAGCAAAAAGTCTGCTCCCGTTACAGCTAAAGACAGCGAAGTGCAGCAGTACGAGGATACGAGCACTAGCCCCGCTGCTATTAGCCTAGCCGAAGATACGGCGGAATGGGGAGAAGAAACGGCGAGCATGACTTTTATACTCAGGGAACTACAAGAATTTAGGCAAGATAATAAAGGGCTTGAAACAATTCAAGGCAAAATTATAAAAATCAACTCAAGACTGGATGATGCAGAAGCAAGAATCGTGGAAATGGAGGAGAAACTGCAAAACATTGAAGAGGTGATAGCGGATATGGCAGCACAACGGCTAAGTGGTTAGCACTGTTGCTCACAGCAAGAAGGTCCTGGGTTCAATTCCCGGTTGAACCTGGGGTCTTTCTGTGTGGAGTTTGCATGTTCTTCTCGTGTTTGCGTGGGTTTTCTCCAGGTACTCCGGTTTCCTCCCACAGAACAAAAACATGCATATTAGGCTGCCTTCAGGCCCAGGAGATCTGTGATCTCAGTGGGATTTGCCTGGTTAAATAAAGGTTAATTAATATGCTCACAAGACAAGAAAGACTCCAGTATTGCTCCAGTTATTTAGCCATGGGCATCCACCGTTCATTGTCAGAATGTGTGCCCACCTCAGTATAAGTTGCAGCTTTCTTGTTGTAGTACAAGAATCAGCCAGTGGATAGCAACACATGTTCAGACTACATGATCTCAGAAGTCTTCATGAAGCTTCACTGTCTGACTCATGGTTACTACCATTATACCTTCAAAATGAATACAAGAACTATCTAAGCAAAATCACTGGACAGAACGGTTCCAAACACCTATGTAACTGAAATTATTTTAAAATTATTTACCGGTAAATATTACCCAGAAGTCTTACCGAGGTCATGTGACTGGAAGTCAAATAGTACCGGTAAAATATGGTAAATATTCATTAATTTAGTACCGTTGATTTTTATTCGTAAACACTTTAAGTAACAGCTGCTGTTTTTAAATTTACTTTCTAAATAAATTAGACGTGATTCTCCTGAGCAGAGCTCATGAGGAGGAGGGAGGACGGTGGAACAGCCCCCTCCCTCTCGTTGTTCCGCTCCCTGCGGAGCTTAAATGAGATACAGTACTGGTATTTAAAGACATATTTACTGTACACAAAAATATATTTTTAAAACTTTTATGAAAGTATGTATCAGTCTTGACTGACTGCTTTAAAAATAAATCTGACAACTTCTCTGGCTGAGCTCTCATGACGGAAGGGGAGGGGGGGAAGACCCCTCCTGTTTGTCATCTCCTCTGCTCTGTTTCATGCATTCGGATGAGATCCCGGTATTTAAACGCATATTTACCGACACAGAAAGAATTAAAAAACTTTTATTAACACATGTACCAGACTCGACTGATTGCATCTCCAATGCCGACCATCGACATACTGATGCAGCTTACAGGCTGCAGCCGTTTCCTCCTTCGACCGATCGCTTTCAACTTGCAAGCTGCGTCATAAGTAATTCTTTGTGCATTTTCCATTATCGCTGAACAAATGAGCAGGTTGACTGTGCATGAAGCGCAAAACATGGTAACAACACAGGAACGACCTGAAGCAATTAATGCACGTCTATCTTGGGGGATGGTCCTCGCGAGTACCTCGTTGGTCATTTAGATTAGACTTCAGGTCACATGATGACAGAGTGGGTGGAGTTATGGTTGGATATTTGAAACCCTGAGCAAGAGTCGTTGTACATCTGATTACCTGAGGGCATTCTCTGTGTCACAAATGCCTGCCCCCAAGAGGGGCAGGGTGCTGGGAGTCATGAGTGCCCAGCTCTGTCAAAAGAAAATGTTTGTCAGCAGCAGGAAGTTTGTCAAAATTAAATATAAAAATACAACTTATGATAATTATGAAAAAAAATACATAAATTAGATGCTTCCGCATGCAAGTTCCAAGAGCTCTATAGTGACTGGTCTGAACAACTATCGGCCAGTAGTCCTCACCCCGATAGTTGTAAAATGCTTCGAAAAACTGTTCATGATCCATATCAAAGCTAACATCAACAAGGACCCTCGCCACATCTCCTCTGTGGTCCACACTGCTCTCACCCACTTGGAGCAGGACTCCTACGTCTCTGCCTTCAACACCATGATCCCCCAAACCCTGATGGACAAACTACTCACATTAGGACTCAGTCCCTCTCTATGCAACTGGGTCCTAGACTTGTTAACCAACAGACCACAATCTGTGAAGATTCACAACTTCTCTTCCTCCACCATGACCCTCAGTACTGGCTCCACCCAGGGCTATATGTTGAGCCCCCTTCTGTTCACTCTGCTAACGTAGGACTGCGCACAGGCCCATCCAGGCTGTCATATTGTAAAGTTTGTAGATGACACAGCGGTGGTTGGATGCATCAAAAACAATGATGAGTCCAGCTACAGGCAGGAGGTGGAACACGCCTGGAGAGCTGGTGCAGGATGAACAAACTTCACATTAATGTGACAAAGATGAAGGAGATGGTCGTGGACTTCAGACAGAACAAACACACTTACCACCCCCACCCCCACGAACATAGGAGGATCTGCGGTGGAAGTGGTCTCCAGCTACAAGTACTCAGGTGTGCACCTGAATGACAACCTCAGCTGGAGCAACAACACCACCAGCCTGATCAAGAAAGCTCATCAGAGACTACCTGCTCAGGCAGCTGAGACGAGCTGGTCTGGGAAGCTCAGTCCTCACCTCCTTCTACAGGTGTGCAGTGGAGAGCATCCTGTGCTCCAGCATCAACGTGTGGCATGGAGGCTGCACAGCTGCAGAAAGTAAAGCTTTGCAGAGAGTGGTGAAGGCTGCACAGAACTCTGTGTTGACTTTGCATATGACAAATAAAAACAACTTGAACTTGTTGGAGTCAGCCTCCTCACCATCAGACATCTACACCTCCAGATGCAGGAAGAGGGCCACCTCTGCATCATGAAGGACCCCACTCACCCAGCACACACACTTTTTGTCCCACTCCCTTCAGACAGAAGGTTGAGGAGCATTAAGTGCATAACCACTAGGTTGAGGAACAGCTTCTACCCTGAAGCTGTTAAGACTCATAAATCCCTAGTCAGGATTATCAATGTGAAAATCACTGTAATGCTACTGGATTGTTATGTGCTGCTGACTACCCATGCTGCTGATCTCATGCTGCTGATTTATTTCATGTTGCTGTGTTCATTCATCCTCATCTGCTCACACAGACTCATGTTCATGCTGCTGTTGTTTGGCGCATTGTTTTATTCTATTAGTGCTTAGTGTATTCTTAGTTTAGCGCATTTCTAAGTTCATATTTTAGATCTGATTACTGTTTTTCTTTACAATTTGTATTTTTGTTGGATGTAACTGGGACCCTGTGTACATAGTTTCGTTCCACCTCATGTACCACATGTGGTGCAAATGACAAAGAACCTTGAATCCTTGAATAAACTGTGGGGTACAAAGTGTGAGAAAAAAGTAGCGGCTTGTACACCGGCAATTATGGTAGTGATGGAGTTCCTCAGGGTTCAGTGCTTGGAACAATACTCTTACCTTATATATGCTTACATTAGGTAATGTTGTTAAAAAGAATGGGATAATTTTTTATTATTATACTAATGATACACAGTTATATTTGTCCATGAAACCCAATGAATCCCATCAGCTACTTAGACTACAAACATGTCTTAAAGACAAAAATTTGGATGACCCTAAATTTTCTGCTTTTGAACACACACAAGACTGAGGTTTTAGTTTTTGGGCCTGATCATCTTAGGAAGGCAATTTTCAGTATTTCGCCCTCCTTGGATGGCATTAATCTGTCCTCCAGCTCTAATTAAAAAAAATCTTGGTGTTATTTTTGATCAGGACATGTCTTTTATCCCCCACATGAAAAACGTTACTAGAACCTTCTTCCACCTGCGTAATATCACAAAAATGAGAAACATCGTATCTAAAAATGATCCAGAAAAACTGTTTCATGCATTTGTCACGTCTAGACTGGACTATTGCAATGGTTTATCTGCGTGTCCAAATACTTCTTTAAAAAGTCTTCAGTTAAAATGCTGCTGCCAGAGTCTTAACTGGAGTTAGTAGGAGAGATCACATCTCTCCAGTTTTAGCTTCTTTCCACTGGCTCCCTGTCAAATCCAGAATAGAATTCCAAATCTTACTTCTAACCTACAAAGCTCTCAACAACCTAGCTCCATTTTATATTACAGATCTTATTGTTCCATATTTCCTAACAGAGCACTTCACTCTCAAACTGTACGTTTACTTGTGGTTCCTAGAGATTCCAAAAGCAGAACGAGAGGTAGATCTTCCAGTTATCAGGCTCCTCTCTTGTGGAACCAACTTCCAGTTTCTGTCCATAAGACTGACATGTTGTCCAGTTTTAAGACTGGGATTAAGACTTTCCTTTTTGATAAATCCTATAGTTACGGTTGGCTTGTTATGCTGCTATAGGCTTAGACTACTAGAGGACAAATTAAAACTGAACAGTTTTCATTCGATATTATTTCTATCTTAACATGTGATTCTTGACCTGCCATTGTGTATCTGTTCCTACCAAACCCAGCCGGTCGAAGCAGATGACCGCTTGTCCTGAGCCTGGTTCTGCTAAAGCAGGCATCTGCAACCTTTACAATAAAAAGAGCCATTTTACGCCTTCGTTCACTAAATTAAAAGTGATCAGAGCCGCAACAACCTGCTGTGATTATCAACTGGTGGCCCGTGGGCCACTTTAGGTTTGTTGGAGGGGATTTTGAGGCCATTAGGGGTGACTTTATAAAGCTAAAAAAAAATAATAATTTAGATTTTTACAATTTAAGACAAATGAAAAGACCAGATTTTTGGGGGGATTTGGGGGGGTGGGGGTAGGGTTAGGTTAGGGTGCCCTGAGATGACTTCTGTTGCGACTTGGCGCTAAAGAAATGAACTGAATTGAACTACAGAAACCCAGGTCGAACTACAGAAACCCGGGTCAAATTACAGAAACGCGGGTTAAACTACAGAAACGTGGGTCAAACTACAGAAATGCGGGTCAAACTACAGAAACCAATAGAGGAGCTGAGAACGAGCCTACTTGAAGGTGAGCGTCTGGCCACAGAAGTAGGTGGAGGCATGGGAGTAGAGGACGGAGCAGCGGTTCTGGGTCGAGTCGTTACGCAGAGCGATGTTCTTCCTGCTGCTCAGGATATAACCCTCGGTTCCTGAACGCCACTCTGCGCCAAAACAAACAAAAACAGATTCAGTTTGACCCGTTCAGACTGCACACGGCACCTCCTGCAGGCCCAATGAAGCTCCACCCACCATGTGGCGCCAGCGTGGTGTATCCTGTCTGCGGGATACTCCAGGGGCTCCACTCTGTACGACCCTCCCCGCGGGCGCAGACCCTGAACAGGTAGTCCGTATGAGGGTCCAGGTGGAGGACCAGGAACTCACAGTCCCGTCCGATGTAGGCGTCTTCGTACTGGCTCCCCCCGCTGCCTGAGCGCCGATACTGCATCCGGTAATCTGCAGCAGCAAAGTCCTCGTCCACCTGAGGGTTGAATCAATTTAAAAGTTTCTGACAGTCTGGATCTTTTACAGAACTCAAGTTCTGCGGCGTGTCCAAACACTTTCAGTTTTTAAAATTAATTACCAAAATACACAAGGAGAAAATATTTGGCTCAAAAAAACAAAATAATATGTTTTACCATGGTGTGTGTAGAAAGAGAAATGGAGACAATGACAGGCAAAATGTAGAGAGCTGGCTGACATGATGCAGAGAAGGAAGGTACCATATTTTTCGGACTATACGGCGCACTTAAAATCCTTTAATTTTCTCAAAAATCGACAGCGAGCCTTATATTCCTGTGTACCTTATGTATTAATTCTGGTTGTGCTTACTGACCTCAAATGGATTTTATGTGGTACAGTTGAACAATGTTGTGAATGAGTTGAATAAAATGCGTCTTACCTGGCTCCTAATGCTTGTTTTGTGATTTGTACATCTGTGGGTTAGAATAAAGTTAAACTAAAGGCTCTTCTTTAAACATGTTTGAGGGAAATATTCCTGAGAGATCCAATAATTTTGTCTTTTTATGACTTTTCAGCTGAGTAAACTTACAGATTATTTAATAAAGTCAAGGTGAAAACAGGATTTCATGATAAAGCCAGCACCGTTTATTTTTATTCTTCACTGATAAAAAAAATAAATAAAATGTAAAAAAAAAAAAAAACGTTTGCACCCTCCGTCCCAGACTCCCGGTCCTCCCGCCTACCAGGGCTCAGAATCCGGCTTTTGTGAGCACGCGAGGCCGGGACTCGGGGTCCGGCCTTGCGTGCTTCAACGGGTCAGCAGCTCGTATGATCCTCCGCGGTGACTCGGCTCGCTCGAATTTTGTCTTCGGTCACCAAACACAAAAAACGCCTGAACTTCAGCATTAAACACAATGTCATTATTGTTTTTAAAATCTTAAAAATAGACCCAGCCGCGGCTCCGCGTTCCGAGAACTTGCAAATGGAGGATCGGTGAAAAGTTTCTGAGATCCAGTGAATCCTCCCCCTGACCAATCAGTGTCCTGCATTCACGTTTCGGTCCCGACTCAGCTCGCATGGTCCCACCAGAGAAGCAGGTGCCAAAAATGGTTCAGAATCAGCCTCGAATCAGCTAAAATGTACTGGTGGTATAGCAATTTTTCCGTGGAGAGCTGAGTAGAGTCGGGGGCTCAGTAGGAGCAGTGCTCAAGGGACGTGTCACTGGTTTGCAACTTTTCTTTTGATCTGGAAATTATTTGTTTATTTTTTATGTAAGAAAACTGCTTGAAATGAAAAAATACCAAAGTTAAAAAATAAAACTCAAGATTTGTACTGTAAAGTGTAATGTAATTTTCTTCTTGTTAGAATTAATATCAATTATAAAACTGGTACAGAAAAAAGTACTGTTCAGGAACCGATATTGAAGTGAAGATACCGGTACCAATATCAAAAAAATTTGCACGATACCCAGCCCTATTCGGCGCTGGCGTCCAAAGAAGCTAAGTAGCTACAAACAACATCGACTTGGAGCGCATATCTAAGCTTTGTTACTACATGTTTCATCACATACAAAGGAACAATATTTGGTGTTGTGGATTTATCACAGACGTTTACGGATGTCCGACGTCAAACAAAAGGCGGTAAGTAAGCTAATCCCACAACTTGTAGCCGTTTTTATCATGCTAAGTGTTAGCAAACAGTAGTGCTCGGTGTAAATCTGGAAGGTCAAAAAAGAAGTTTAAACAGTGGTGAAGTCAGCTATGCTGTATGGTCTGGAGACAAAGACATGGACAAAAAGACAGGAGAAAGAACTGGAAGTGGCAGAAATGAAGCTGTTGAGGTTCTTCTTAGGAGTGACAAGAATGGATAAGATTAGGAGTGAGATAATCAGAAGTACAGCACAGGTTGAACAACTGGAAGATAAAGTTAGAGAGGACACACTGAGATGGTTTGGACATGTCCAGAGGAGAGACAGTGAGTTTATTGGTAGAAGGATGTTAGAAATGCAGCTGCCAGGAAAAAGACAAAGAGGAATATATTGATGCAGTTAGAGAGGACATGGAGGTAGCTTGAGTGAGGGTTAGGGTTAGGGACTCACTGTGGAGACCCCTGAAGAGGGAAAAGCCGAAAGAAGAAGATTTGGCTCAAAATACGAGGCTCAATGAGACTAACCTGTATAAATAAAGTTGAATGAAAAAAGAATTTCAGCCTGGCTGACCTTGCACCAACGGACCAGGATGCTGCCTGGTCTCTCCTGGAGTTCTTCGATCTGAACGGGCGGGTGGGAGGACACAGATCCATGACGGGACACCCGGTCCCTCAGAAGACTCAGCAGGGAGTCGTCCAACTGTGCTGAAACACACGGGACGTCCACGAGAGCCGGGACCTCTGGGAGGCTGGAAAAAACATTTGAGTTAATGTACCTGTAGCGTCACAGGAAAAATCAATGAAATTATGTCGGGCTAGTGACATCTGTTGGTGGAATGGAGTACTGCAAGTAGACGTGAGCATTCAGTGCGCATGACCACTTTAAAACTTATCAGTTGCATGAGTGTATGGACATGAGCAGAAAACAAAAAAACAATATGGACAATGACACAATGACCATTTGGTCAGAAGGTGCACACAATTTGTTTACATATTTTGTTTTTGTTTATAAGTTTAATTTTGGTAGCAAATGCAATTTTGTTAACAGTTGTGTTTATATTGTGTATTTAACAGTTTTTTGCAGTGTTTGCTGGCAAAAGAAGATGTCCTGTGTGGCAAAGAAATAATTAAAAGCTGGTAAACATCAGTTGGAGTGTGGGTCTTATTCTGTACCAGACAAAAAGTCTCTGGGAGCAGTTACAGTTAAATTACTGCAAGATCAGAGGACTGGAAGAGTACAGGAGGATTACATTAAGGATGTCCCATGTCCCACCTGTCCTCCATCATGTCTGTGCCACCAATCGTCCATCATGTCTGTGCCACCAGTCGTCCATCATGTCTGTGCCACCTGTCCACCATGATGTCTGTTACACATGTCCATCATGTCTCTGTCCCACCTGTCCACCATCATGTCTATGTCCCACCTGTCATCCATTATGTCTCTGTCCTCCCACCTGTCCACCATGATGTCTCTGTTACACCTGTCGTCCACCATGCCTCTGTCCTCCCACCTGTCCACCATGATGTCTCTGTTACACCTGTCGTCCATCACTTCTCTGTCCTACCTGTCCAACTGGATGTGCATGGCTTTCTTGGTGAAGCTGCCCAGTTTGTCCTCGTTGTCTCCCAGCCCACAGCGCAGAGCAGCTTCTCCTGTAGACAGAACCACATGCTCACTTTGTTTACCTCTTTGTTTAGGAAAATAAACACCAATCAGTAAAATACAATATATTGGTATGGACAATGTGAGACAGTGTGAGACTGTATGAAAATGTTGGAAATATTTTTGGATGATATATCTATATCTATCTATCTATCTATATATATCTATATATATATATCTATCTATATATATATATCTATCTATATATATATCTATATATCTATATATATATCTATCTATATATCTATATATATATCTATCTATATATATATATATATATATATATATATATATCTATCTATCTATCTATCTATATATATATATATATATAGATAGATAGATAGATATGTGTGTGTGAGTATGCATGTATGTATGTCTGTGTGTGTCTGTGTGTGTGTGCGCGCATTTTTTTTTTTCTCCCTGCTTGCTCTCGACGAGGACAGACGCTTTCCCTCCTGCCTCCCTCCTGCTTTGCTCTTTGTCTTGTGATTCATGATTCCTACCGGAGCCTCTCACCACATATCCTCCGAATTGTAAATTATACATATGGTCAGCTGGTCTCAACGCAATTGATAACATTTTCTTGAAGACAGGCTACAGGTGAACCTGCTTGCCTTGATGGGACGCACGCGGTGGTTAATTTGAGCCGGATCCTGCTAGAACAAGATCCGGGAACTCTCTCATTTTGACCGCTCAGATCCAGCAACTTAAATCTCCGCCCCTAAAAGTCCAAAGTCATCGCACATTTTTATTTTGATTATTTATTAAAAATACAACGAGAGGAGATGTTGCCCAGTCTGTGGAGCGGATGTTCCAGCCGCACCACGCTCCTGCCCGGCAGAGACGCGGACTGCATGTCCCGTGGGGAGTGTCTTCATCCACCTTCAGCTGTGCGCCCTGCAGACTTTACGCACAGTGTCTCCAGACAGGATGTGCGCCCAACTGCAGTGACCGAACTCCTACATACATTACCACGGTGCATAACATTTCAGACATAATAAATAAGCTTACAGTAAATAAATAAATACGAGTGAAATGTTTGATGTGTATTATTCACATCACGTATCAAAACAACGGCACTAATTTGTTAAAATAACAGCGATCAAAATGTCGAAAAGACCATCCAATTTATTATTTAAAATAAATGGATGGATGGACCCACGGACTGCCATTATCTGCCTTATCTTAAATTCTGGTTCTGTAAATTCAAGATGCTCTGCCCCCCTCCCTTCTCCCCCTCCAACAATGCTGTCTGTGGACACCTATCAGAGCAATTTTTTGGCTGAGATATGACCGTTTTCATTCAATCCGACTGGAATTTTTTTTTGAACAGTACCACTTACAGCCACTTGATGGCAGCAGAGTAGTAATAGCTGTATGGCATGCCGTTGCACCATGTAATAGGTAAACGTGGCTATAATGACAAATTCAAAAAAGTTCAAGGCAAAAACAGCTGGACTATTTATTATACTTTGTTTTTTTTCCTTTAACTTTCTTGAATTTACCATGTCCTGGATGACTGAGAATCTTCACCAGCTATTAATGACTCAATCGGCCTGTCATATCCCCACCTTCATTCTGCTTGTTGCATGGAACCGTCAAATCAGCTGCACCGCCCCAGCGAAATGCAGCTAATTTGACCATTAAAGTGCATTTATTAAGCAAACATTACACTGAGACACAACTTTACTTGCTATAATTTCAAGCAAACAAATAATTGTTTTGAGGTGTTTATCTTGTTACTTTTATACAGCGACTCATCGTGTGCGCGCATTTACTTCCACGTATCGGGGTTTTGAAATACAGTTGATCTGACCGTCAAAGTGCATTTATTAAGCAAACATTAGACTGAGACATCTTTACTATAATTTCGAGCAAACAAATAATTGTTTTTAAGTGTTAATCTTGTTAAATTCTTGTTAAAGTCCTCCCGTGCACGCTCCTGCAGCTGACATTTGGAAGCCCATCGATTTATGGCACAACACCAGCCCACATTTCTGGGTTCGGCCCACATTTCCAGGTTGTCAGCGGTGACGCGTAACAAACGCGATGTGTCAGCGGTGACTCATAATAGATGCAACGTATACGGCCAAGCGACATATTTATGGATTTTTCCACTTTATTAGACATATTTGGACTGATGTGACTTGTAAAGCGGTGCGACAAGTACGCTGGAAAATACAATACTATGGAACCTCTGGGAGTGTTCATGGTCAACCTCGGCTCCCTTGAGTGTGTCTCTGGATCCTTTATCAGAGTGAGCTGGCTGAATTTGGGGGAGTGGTGGCGCAGAGGTTAGAAAAGATGGGTCTGTGATCGGAAAGTCACAGGTTCAACTCCCGGTACAGTCAACATCAAAATGTGGGTAGGAAAGGTGAAACACCCACACCTGCCTCTACCCTCATTTGCCCCACTCTGGGCCCATGAGCAAGACCCTTAACCCCCACCATCTGCTCCCAAAAAACAGGTCTCTCTTGAAAATGAGTTCTCGTGACTCATTGAGACTACCTGTATAAATAAAGGTTGAATGAATTGGCTATAGGGACATGAACCATTACGTCACTGGCGAGTATGGAGCCGGAACTTGTGTGCGAGGTTGAGTGGTACCAACTAGATATAGTTGGGCTCACCTCTACACACAACATGGACTCTGGAACCCAACTCCTGGAGAGAGGCTGCTGGACTCTTTCCTACTCAAGAGTTGCCCAAGGAGAGAGGTGTGGGGTGGGTGTGAAGATAATCACAAGCCCCTGGCTGAATACCTCTGTGTTGGAGTTTTCCCCGGTGAATAAGAGGGTTGTCTCTCTGTGGCTTTGGGCTGCAGGAAAGAAGTTTCTGACTGTTCTTGTGTATGCATCTAGCATCAGTTCAGATTATTCTGCCTTTTTTGGAGTTTCTGGATGGTGTCCTAGAAGGGGTGCCATCTGGGGATTCCCTCATTCTACTGGGTGACTTCAATACCCATGTGAGCAATGATGGAGTCATCTGGAAGGGGGTGATTTGGAGAAACAGCCTCCCTGCTCTGAACCCAAATGGCATATGTTTATTGGACTTCTGTACTAGGCACGGGTTGTCCATGACAAACACCATGTTTGAGCATAGGGTGGTTCATATGTGCACTTGGTACCAGGCTACCTTAGGCTAAAGGTTGATGATTGATTGAATACTCAGGTGAAGAGAGGGGTAGAGCTGTCAACTGATCACCATGTGGTGGCGAGTTGGATTTGATGGTGGGGGAGGCTGACGGACAGACCTAGTAAACCCAAATGCATAGTGAAGGTGAACAGGGAACGTCTGGTGTCCGTGCAATCTTCAACTCACTTCCAGGAGAGATTTTCACATTACCTGGGGGAGGTTAGGGACATGGAATCTGAATGGGCCTTCAGGACTTGGCTATCCTGGAGGATTCCTGAAGCAGCTGACAGGTACAGGGTGGCCTAAAGGACTGCAGCTTCAGTGGTTGTGGATACAAAAACTCAGGCATGGGAGAAATTTGGGGAGGCCACGGAGAAGGCCTTTCGGTTAGCCTCAAGGAAGTTCTGGCAAAACATTTGGCACCTCAAAAAAGGGAATGCAGCCCCATTCTCAGGTTGTGCTTGGTTTGGGTGGGGAGTTGCTGACCCGAACTGAGGATATTGTTGAGCGGAGGAAGGAGCACTTGGAGAATATCTAATCCACCCACCATGTCCACCTTTCAGGAGGCAGAGTCTGAGAACATGGGGGAAGACGAGTCCATTACCATGGCAGAAGTCACTGAGGTAGTCAAAAAGCTACTCTGTGGCAGGGCGCCAGGGGTGGATGAGATTTGTCTTGAAATGCTGAAGACTGGATGTTTTGGGGCTGTCATGGTTGACATGTCTCTTCAGTGTCACATGGAGGACTGGAGCAATGGGGGTCACGGGAGTTTGCCTCTCCAGTCTACGTGTGTTTTGTGGACCTGGAGAAGCATTAAGATTGTGTTCCTTGAGGCATTCTGTGGGGGTGCTGCAGGAGTATGGGGTGGCTGGGTTGCTTTTAAAAGCAGTCCAGTCCCTGTAAAACCAAATCAGGAGCTGTGTCCACATTCTTGGCACAAAGTCAAGTTCGTTCTCAGTGTAGGTTGGACTCCGCCAGGGCTGCCCCTTGTCTTCGATCATGTTTGTGGTGTTCATAGACAGGAACCCGAGATGCAGTCCTGGAGGGGGTCTGGTTGAGGGAATTTCAGGGTTTCATGTCTGCTTTATGCAGATGATGTGGTTCTGTTGGAATCTTCAGACCAAGACCTTCAGAGTGCACTGGGGCGGTTCAGCGGCTGGAATAAGAGTCAGCTCCTTAAAGTCTGAGACCATGGCTCTGGACCAGAAACAGGTGGAATGCCCACTTCGGGTCGGGGAGAGACTTTGCCTCAGGTGGAGGAGTTCAAGTATCTGGGCATCTTGTTTCCGAGTGATGAAGCAGGAGGTGGATCCACAGATCGGGGCCTTGTCCGCAGTAATGAGGGTGTTGCTTTGGTCTGTCGTGGTGACGAGAGAGCTGAGTCTAAAGGCAAAGCTCTGGATTTTCTGGTTTGTCTTCATTCCAACCTTCACCTGTGGTCAGGAGGATTGGATCAGGACTAAAAGAACCAGATCCTGGATACAAGCGGCTGTAATGGGCTTCCTCTGCAGGGTGGGGGAGCTCAGCTTTAGAGAGGAGGAGCTCCGTCATTTAGGGGGAGCTCAGAGTAGTGCTGCTGCTCCTCTGCATCTAAGAGAGTCATTTGAGGATGTTCCTCTGATCAGGATGCCTCCCTGTGGAGGTTTTCCAGGTACCTCCCTCTGGTACGAGGCCCCGGGGAAGACCCAGAACTCTCTGGGGGGATTGTGGATTTTCTCTGGCCTAGGAACGCCTCAGGGTCCCCCAGGAGAAGCTGAAGAGTCTCTGAGGAGACAGATGTTTGGGTTTCTCTTCTGGGCCTGCTGCCTCTACTACCCGACTACAGATAAATGTTAGAAGATGGATGATTTATATTTTAATATTTAATGTTTCATGTATTTAAATCACATCTTTAAAATCCACTCTCAAAAACCTCCTTCAGTTTCCTGAGAAGGTTCTAAGGTCTGATTGACCCAACAACACCTTCAAACAGTAGGCAGACCTGTTTGTATCACAGAAAAACACCTCAGACTAGACCCAGAACTACAAAATGCTGATCCAGGCCCAGAATCATCAAGAGTGCTGGAACCAGAACCAGGGTTGATGTGGGTTATCAGGTGATTCTGTGGGTCCATGTGGTTCTGGGTCCATGTGGTTCTGCTCTGTGGAGGAGAGCTCTGAAAGATCTTCAGTCTTGGTACCGTATCAGGGACACAGTTCTGACTGACTGATTCTTTATTTGAAAAAAGAATACAAAGGAAAGCAGACAGGAAGGACCGGTTCTGTCATTTGAAGAGTTTGTGAACCCGACCTTCTCTCAGCAGCTCGTCAGCCTGACCCACTCCGTGTTCGATCAGGTTCTGACACTCGTCCAGAGGCCTGACGCTGTCCGCCTCGATGGCATCCACCTCCGACAGCAGACCGACTAACCGCTCCGACAACAACCGAGTCGACGCCGCTTGCAACTCTGTGAAGTGCCTCCGGAGGGCCTCACGGGCCTGACCCGAGCTGCCCCGGACCTGGAGAGCAAGAGACAAAAGCTCAGATTACAAACCACAGATGAACGGGTCTGACAAAGAGAAGCACAGAACATCTGGACTGGGTCCAAACGAACCCATTATGCTATGACCCGCAGCATGCTGCTGCCATCGCTGTGCCCGACAGCAGGTCCGGTGTTCTAAAGCTTTATTCGGACGCCAAACATTCGTCTGGTCTTTGTGTTCAAGAAGTTCTGTTTGTTGTATAATTGTTCCACATTGGTAAAAACAAATCCATAAATAAAAGTTTAAATAAATCAATAAATAAAATCCTGAATGTTTCAGATGCATGTACGTGAAGTTGTGACCCCAGCTGTTCCACGACACGTCTCCTGCAGTACGTTAAAAGGGACAAGCATCCAACATGGAGCAGACTGTCTCATGTTTTCTCTGCTTCCAGGTCAATGAATATTTCTCTGACCTTTAACCTTTGCTTTCCTGATAACTTCCTGGAGTCGAGGAGGAGAAACGTTTTGAACAGGGAGGTGAGCAGTAAGCAGCTCTGAGCTTTAATAACGAGGACCTCCTTTAGTCTCTCCAAGTTCTATTCTGGGTCATGGGTCCCAAACCTTCCACAGTTCTTATTATAGCGCCGTACAGCGGGCAGAAGACGACGGCCATGTTTCACTTCCTCTTATATCATACACAGGAAGCAGCAGATGACTGACAGCTGCAGCACTCACAGACAGAAACACTCATCTTCCACACGTCCTGCAGATTATCAGCACCAAACACATGAGGACTGATCTTCTGCGGGTGTAAAATAATAAGCAGGACTATAAATGTGACAGGACAGGACCTGTTTGGACCGGTGTGAAGGACAGATGTTGGGCTGATACTATTGTGTGGGACGTTTCCTGATATCTGCTGGAAGGTTCTGAAGGAAGAGGGGGAGTCATGGGAAACTCAGCAGAACTGGAACCGGATCCAAGACAACATGGG